AGTCCCCACGCTGCCTGAGGGAGGAGCGCCGAGGGCTTGTGTTTGTGTCCTCTGAACAGGAGGCTTGCCTTCTCAGCCCCTTCCAATCTGTTTCCTCTCCCAGCATCGCTACCCTCTGTCCTGCGTTTCTGTCTTGCAACATCCCCCATTATAAAATGCTGCCAGAAGACAACAGCTTAATTCCTGCCCTTTCAAATCTGCCGTTCACTGAATATCCTACTAGAGTCTTGAGTGGAATGACAAGGAAAGCTCTGTGGCTGAAAGGACGAAGTTAGCTGCGTATCATAACCTAAGCCTCTGGAGTCCTTAGGCTTTACTCAGGAACCTGATGTGAACTTGGGAATTCACATCATATTTATGTTTTCACTTCTTTTTTTTTTTTTTTTTTTTTTGGTCAAGGCTGGTTTGAAACCAGCATATGAGGCTGGCGCCCTACTCCTTTGAGCCACAGGCGTGGCCCACTGTTTTCATTTCTTGATTCGTCCCCAAAGTCCCAGAGTCTTTAGTATCAAAAATGCGTCATCTTCTACAATTATTACAAAGGATTCGAGGACAAATCCATAGTTTATGCCTTTGTAGCTTATCTCTTCTCCCTTCTTCTATAAAACCTCTTAGGCCCTCAAAAATATCTTAATCTTGTGTAAGACAGTTATATTCTTCTATTCTAAGGTTTCCCAATCGTACTTTATGAAACACTTACATGCCCAGAAGTTTTGATATATGTCCAGTGATTTAGGTGCCCTACGGCCAAATAATTTTAACTATATTAATAAACGGTTAAACAGATTTAACACACAAAGCCCTTAGTGTGTTGATAAGCTTTGTTAATCTTAAGAGTTCAATGTCATCTCTTAACTTCTTTGACTCTCTGTCTAGAGGCAACTTGTAGCTTTTAGACAGCACAAGCTTAGTGATGAGCATAGAATGACAGTAGCAAAGGGCATTAAGAATTGAAATACCTAAGTACCTCAGTTCTTTATGAGTAAGGCTGACACTCCCAGGGTTCCTCTTGGTTACTTAATGGGATTATTCTCTTCCTGTAATTTACTGTTGTGAATTATCTAGTGTCTGCTGCAGTTAGAAATGACAGTACTGATAAATTGATAAACACCAAGATAGGACTTCTTTGGAAGCCTTTACTAACTCCTTAGCCAGTAGAATTGATTGCCTCCCCCATAATTTATATTTTCAAATCATTTTTCTGAAACCTGCAGGGTATTTCTGCAGTCATTTGTTCACGTTGGTTCTCTTTCCCACTAGATTACCATCCCTCTAAGAGGGATGTGCCTTTTTTGCTTTATATCCTTGGCATCTAGCATAAGGTCTGGCTCATAACATAGGTTTAATAAATGCTTGTTAAGGGAGGGAGGGAGAGAACTCACAGGAAGGCAGACACATCCGCTGACGCTGGCAAGCTGATTGAAGGTCCGTGGCTCTATCCTCACACGTTAGACAATGAAACTTACAGTCCTCATTGTGAATGCTGTCACCCACGCTACCTTATACTCACTGTTGAAGAATAATTTTTAAAAGTGAGTATAATTGTGATGTTTATGCAGTTATAAAATGTAAAAAATGTTAATAATATTTGATTCATCCATCAGTGAGGAAACCAGTAAGATGTTAGAATTGGTCAAGGTAGGTGGCACCCGTGGCTCAAAGGAGTAGGGCACTGGCCCCATATGCCAGAGGTGGCAGGTTCAAACCCAGCCCTGGCCAAAAACTGCCAAAAAAAAAAAAAAATTGATTCAAGGAGAATTCCAAGAACCACACAAACGTAAATGATAAGAAAATCTGAAGTAAGTTTAAAAATATAGGAAAAACAGATGTATACACAGTGCAGTAACCAGTTGCATTCCACCAGAAATAATTCATTTGCATTTCTGTCCACAAATACAATTTACATACTAGCCATTTTTCCAATTTGAGGAGTTTTTAAATATCTCGACAACAATGAAAACTGGAAATAACCCAGATGGGTACTATAGACAGAATAACCACTAATCTTTCTCGTTTTTCCCCAATGGATGGCAAAATATTATTTTATTGTTTTTTTCCCCTTCCCCCTTTATTATAATCATCTAGCATTAGTGACACTGGGGCTTGCCTGGGAAATGCCGCCTTGCCTTTTAGAGTTCTCCTCCTACTCTTGGTTCTGTTTCTAGCCCTGCTTTTTACTCTCAGGGTGAGCTATTTCTTCTGATGGGGTCTTGGATTATTATGTAAATACCTCCAGAGAGCAACCTACCACTCTTCAAGGTGATACAGAGTCCACACCCAGCTAAATACATTTACCTTTATCCACCTCAATACATCCATCTAATCTGTTTTCTACCCTTAAATATCATATCATGTTTCTTGAAGCAAGGAACTATTATATATTTTCTTCATCATCAGTGCACCTGACATAGGTAGACCCCCAAAATACTATCTGCATATGAAAATATTTTAACATTTTTACAAAAGATCAAGGGTTAGAACAATTTTGAATAGTAATGTATTTGTCTTTCCTTGAAGAGTAAGAAAAAGCATTTCTCCTTTCTTTTTTTTTCTTTTCTTTTTTTTTTAATTAAATGATAGCTGTGTACATTAATGCAATCATGGGGTACAGTGTGGGGTTTTCATATGCAATTTGAAATATTTTCATACTGGGTAACATGGCCTTTATGTCATTTTCTTAGTTATTGTGTTAAGACGTTTATATTCTACTTTTAGAAAGATTCACTTGTACCCTCGTAAGATAAACCATAGAGGTGATCCCTCTCATCACCCTCCCTCCACCCATCCACCCCACCCCACCCCCTCATTCCTCGTTTCCTTATGCTTCCTCTTCATAACCATATATAGTTTTTGTCACAACTTGTGATTTCACAGGGCACTCTGCTAGAATCAGTAAATGGGATTTTAAAAGATGGTATGCTTTCTCCTTGGGGAGGGCTCTGTAATTGTGACGATCTCTCTTCGGTTTATATCCCCATTTCCTACTTTCTCTGGCCTACACCTGAATTTCCTCTACATTATACTCTTTGGAAATGTACTCAGATGCTTGAGAATGCCCAAAATATTTTTCTGCATCTTTTCTTGAATACTAGAGAAAACAGAGATAATTATGATTTTTTTTTTTGAGACAGAGTCTCACTCTGTCACTCTGGGTAGAGTGCTGTGACATCATAGCTCACAGCAACCTCACACTCTTGGGGTCAGGTGATCCTCCTGCCTCAGTGTCCAGAGTAGCTGGTTCTCCAGGCATCCACTACCATGCCTGGCTAGTTTTTCTGTTTTTAGTAGAACGGGGTCTTGCTCTTGCTCAAACTGGTCTTGAGAGCTAAGATTACAGGCATGAGCCACTGCACCAGGCAGATAATTATAACTTTTAAATTCATGGAATTATTCCCCCTGGGCAAGTCTGAAGGAGTGGGCTAAGGGGATGACATATATTCATTTAGGAGAGGGCATTAATTGTTTGTTGTGCTTCCTCAACACATTCTATTAGATCTACATTCTGTATATCATAGTGAGCCACAGTTACCAATGAGTGTTTGGTTTCTTGTAGAGTTGTTGGTGCAGAAAGAGAAAAAGAAGCATTTATCTAAACTTGACAGAATATTACAAAAATATTCTCATCTATAAAGAGATGTCTGTGCATAACACTGGCAGTATGAAAATGCTAACATCTGTCAGTGATCATATTTAAATGAGCACCTATGTTCTCTATTACCTTACTTACAAATATTGGAATATTTTGAGTTTGCTGAATAGCAATAGCAAAAAAAAGAAAGTACTCTCTGTTCTTATTAATTTGAGTTTTCTGTAGATTCTGGTTATTAGGCCTTTGTCAGATTTGTAACATGTAAATATCTTCTCCCATTCTGAAGGTTGTCTGTTTTTTTAATTGTTGTGTGCACTTTGGCTGTGCAGAAGCTTTTTAGCTTGATCTTTTAGCTTGATCTTTAGGTGTCATTTGTTTATTTTTCTTGTGGCTGCAATTGCCCATGGGGTCTTCTTCATGAAGTCTTTCCTCAGGCGATATTGTTGGGAGTTTTTCTCACTCTGTCTTCTAGAGTTTTCATCATACTGGATGGATTTTGAGACTATCCTCCTATGTAAAGTATTACAAGAATTGAAAAGCAAATATCCCGTGTACTCAATACAAATATGAAACTAGTAGATGAACAACCACATCCCCATACAAGAGGAAAACACAATTAAATTCAGGTGGGGGGCGGGAAGGGGATTGGTGTGCTCTCACCTAATAGACACAATGTCAGGGAATATGGCACCCCCCTGGGTGAAGGGCTTGGCTACAACCAGGAATTTACCTTACAAACGCAAACAGTGTAACGTAATCACATGTACCCTTTTATTAATCTGCAATTTTAACAAAAATAAAAAAAAATGTCTCAGTGTTTTACTATGTTAATCAGACATGGGGACCCCCGGGGTATCGAATTTTGAGGACCACTCTGCTTCATCAGATTAGCTATATCTGCAGCATGTGTGATGAGATTAGGAAAAATGGAGTAACCAGAACCTGGTCTACGATCTCAAACTAGTATCTGCAAAATGTGTGGCCAGGAGCTACCTTCTCTGTGACATTTGGACAACCCTAGGTATTTTTCTCAAGCTCTGTGGAAACTGAAGTCAGTGAGCACGTTGACAATTGTTACCTAAATCTGTCTCCATAAGGATTCTGACTCTACATCTTCATGCAGTGTTGAAGTTAAATTTTAAATGAGAGGAAAGGGATTGGACCTCCGAGGATCAGGGGTCTGTGATGTAGCTATGTAGACTTCAGAGATATCTAGGGGACTTGAATGGCATGTTGATGACTTAGCAGCACACAAATGGTGGCACCGTTTCTTTTTACCTCACTTATATTGATCATATTGTGTTATTCCATTTGCGTTCTCCCGATTAGAATAATAAAGTCTTTCCTTCAGTATTTCTTTCTAAGCATCTCTGCTTAACTACTGTTGTGTTTTTTTTTTTCTTCCTTTTAGCAATATTTTCATGCAGGAGGAAATGGCCTGAAAAAGAATTTCTTGGAGAAAAGCCCAGATCTTCAGTCTCTGAGATACGCTCTGAGTCTTTACACTCAAACTACGGATGCCTTGATAAAGAAATTCATAGATACCCAAACCTCACAGAGTAAGTAACAACACAAGCTAGCTATGCTGAAAACTAACTAAAATTTAACATCAGAATTATTTATAAACAGTATTATTAACTTTTTGTTATAGTAAACTGAAATATCATTACAAATAGAAGATTGCCGTTAACAAAATGCCAATACTTCTTAGCATCTATCTCTTACAACTTTATAAATAATTTCAATAACACTAGGATATGTTGAATATGAAAAATATAAGGAATCATTAACTATTATTGGGGATTTTGACTGCTATAAAACCATTTTAGGTAAAATCTACTTTTGAATATTCATAAGTATGATATTGTCTTCAATTCAGTGCAGAAGACTAGGTGTTTTCTGGTTTTCATAACTTCCAAACAATGATAATAATTTCCTAAATCCTGAATTTAAATGTGAAATCTGCAGCTTTGGTATTTTAATAAGGGAAATCTCATTTTATCCTAGTTTCATATATGAGAAAAACACCAAGTTTTTCTTTTAAATAGGCCAGCAGGCAGGCTTTGCATTTTATTTGAAACTCATGTTTCATGTGGCAAAGTTCCCATCTCATAAGCTTCTGGGATATTGCTGTTCAAAATTCTTTCAAGTTGCTTTATGATTTATTATATTTTGGTAATATATGATTAAATGTATGATATATATTTAATTAAATGTAAGTCAAAAAGAGCCAAATCCCAGCTCAAACTTTAGGATCTAATAAATCATACTACAGAAATAGTAAAAAGTATTGAGAACACTATCTCTATTCACAAAAGATTCTGGGAAAAGAGATCATACAGGTAAACTTTTTAACTATGGTGAAAATATTCTGGACGTATTTGTGTTTCTTCATGGATACATTGATTTTTCTTAATATATTTTAAATAATGCTAGATTAGGTGCTAGGTAGGGGTTTAGCCTCTTTAACACTTTATTATCTTGTGCTTTCTGGGTGGTGCCATAGCTCAGCGGTTAGAATGCTGGCCGCATACACCCAGGCTGGTGGGTTTGAACCCGGCCTAGGCCAGCTAAACAGTAATGACAATTGCAACGAAAAAATAGCCAGGTGTTGTGGCAGGCGCCTATGGTCCCAGCTGCTTGGGAGGCTGAGGCAAGAGAATTGCTTAAGCCCAAGAATTGGAGGTTGCTGTGAGCTGTGACATTACAGCACTCTACTGAGACTCTGTCTCAATATATATGTATATATATTGTGTGCTTTCTGGTAGTGTCTAATTAAATATTACAAAACAAACATCTCTTTTCATATGAGATACAAATCCAAGTTATCTTGCGGGATACTTTCAGAAAGAGAAAAAGAGTTGAGGTCATGAGGACCTGTCAAGAGATATAAACATCTTCCAAAAGCATATTCCCTCAAGTTTTTCTGAACTTTATGAATATAATTCTATCAAATAGTGTAGCTTTATTCCCCGAGGGAATGAATACATATAACTTTTGCTTTGCCTTTATAGGTAAATATATATTTATGTATACCTATATACACTGAGCCTGTTTTTTTTTGACCAAAAAAAAAAGTATACACATTTTAAGAAAGGAAAAAACTATTAATATTGTAATACTCAAGTCACATTCGACTTCTGCAATTAGAAAAGGTGCTCAAATGTAATTTGTATTTATCTGTTATCAGTGTACATGGAGTATTACAATTTTAATATAGATTTTTCCTTTGTTACATGTTTGTCCCCCTTTGTATATATAACACACACATACACACACACAGTTGCCCCTTGGTATCCATGGAGGATTGGTTCCAGGACTCCCCACTGCTGACAAAATCCACAGATACTCAAATCCTGATATAAAATGATGTAGTGTTTCCACATACCCTATGCACACCCTCCTGGATACTTTCATCATCTCTAGTTTCTAATACTTAAAACAATGTAAATGTTATGCAAATGGTTGTTATACTGTACTGTTTAGAAAATAATGATGAGGAGAAACCATTCCTCATTCTCACTACAGTGGCAATATTTTTTTCAATATTTTCCATTCATAGTTGCTTGAATCCATGGATGCGGAACCCGTACGGTACATGTCATTTGGCTGTTTTTGTATTGTGTTACAACATTAAAAATATATGGGTAGGGGAACGTCCCCATGTTCAATAAAAAAATGAAGGCAAATCAAAGTATTATCAATCAATAAATCCTGGGTTGCTCAGTAATGTTCATTCCCACTTTTCTTTTAATTCTGTCACAGTCCCATCTCAATATTCATGGATATAAAATGAATAATAAAGTTGGGTGGTGCCTGTGGCTCAAAGGAGTAGGGCGCCAACCCCATATGCCGGAGGTGGTGGGTTCAAACCCAGCCCCAGCCAAAAAAAAACTGCAAAAAAAAAAAAAGAAGAAGAATAAAGTTACTCACCAACTTCGTATTCTTTATAAAATTGTGAACAGCAGGAGACACATAATGAAAATTAGCTGAATTTTAGGACTATTTTTTAAACAACAGAAAAAATATGATAGAAGATATATATTCATTTCTGTTAACTGATCCTAAAGCTGTGGTTTATACTTATGGCTTCTAAATTCTCCTGTCTAGTTTATGTTCTCTGTCATTTCAAAGCAACCTCAAATTCTCAGCTATCAGGGTTCTTTACCTGACAGAAATATAGAGAAGTTTAATTCTTTGCATCTTATTTACATAAGGTGTTATGCTATCCTATGGATTTTGACAGTAGGCACTTGGCTTCCATCCATTTGGTCCCAACCATTGGATTCCATCACTGCTATTCCTGCCAGTGACCATTCCCAATTAATACCAGGGTCAGTTTATCCCCTTATTGTCCTTTTATCCTAGTGACATGGAGTCCAGAATGACCAAACAGAGTCTCAGTTGTCAATGTAAATACTGTTGCAATTATACAAATAATTTCCTAGAACTTAGAACTTCTTAGAACTTATTTACCATGAATTTTATCATATTTAATTTTGGTTATTCTAACTTGGATACTGGTGCTGTGGTATTCAAATATAAAGTATTAATAGCTAAGACCACTTACTGCAAACACTCCCACCCTGCTTGATGAGCCATTGACACTTGCTCAGTCCCATGCAGGTGTAGCTGGAGTGACAGAGTTAATGCCCAGGGAACTTAACCAGTGAAAGACAGAATGGATTATAAAGGACTATAAATAAGGACTATAAATAAAAGAAACAGTGTCACTCCAGTTTCCCTCAGAGGACTGGCTTGATAACATATTCTTTTTCACTTCCTTACTTTTTCTTTTTCCCTGTCCCCTCCTTTCTCATCTCCTCAGACCCCTTCCCAGACAGACCACTTACCCTTGAATGCTTATCTCAAGTTCTACTTCTGGGAGAACCCAAACCTAGGGTCACATGGCTAAAAAGACGGGAGGCAGATTCTAATTCTAGTAGCCTGGATCTAGACTCAACCTTTTAACCCTGTGTGTATATCTCTTTCATGATAGATATAAAGGCTAAATACCTTAAATAACTTTTCCTTCATTACTTGAGTTTTTTCTCTCATTTTTTTAAAACTAGAATACAGAACTAATTAATGAAATTCAACTTGTAAATGTTAGTTGGAAAAAACGTACACATTTTCATTTACATTTTTATCAGTCAAACAGAGTTTTGTTTTATTCCCTTAATTTCTTGTTCATGCTCTGCACAGAAATTGTTTCAAACTGCATTGACTCATTATTCAAGTCTTATTTAATCTACATGGTACATAAAAGGATCTTGTGATCCTTTAGAAATGTAAGTGTATGTTTAAAGAATTCATAGTTTACTTGTCTTATTCTCATAAATTCTCTCCTTACTCCATTTTCTTCTTTTCTTTTTCAAAGATTTTCCTTTTTCATCTCTTTCTCTCTTTGCTGTTTTTATTTTATTTTATTTTTTTGCAGTTTTTTGGCCAGGGCTGGGTTTGAACCCGCCACCTCCGGCATATGGGGCCAGCGCCCTGCTCCTTTGAGCCACCAGCACTGCCCTCTCTTTGCTATTTTTCTCCTTGTCTGTTTGAGTTAGAAAATTAACTCTAGTATTAAATATAATGAAAACATTAATGACTTTTAATTTAATATTTTTGCTATATTCGAGTTGAAAGATGTGTTTTTAAAAAATAATTTATTTAAATTCACCTTTTTTATAAATGAGTTGATAAGGATGAGAAAGCCCATTGTATCCTGATCATTTATTCTTTCTTTTCTCCTTCTACTTTATCCTCCACTTTTGCCTCCTATTTTTACCCTGCATTCTCTTTTTTTGTCGTCTTTCTCTAGTAGTAAACAAAAAAAAAAAAAAAAGAAGAAGAAAGAAAAAGAAAAAATAATTGAGTGTTTCATTGGAAAATTGATAAAACTGCAGAGTTCAAATAAGATGATCATGTTGTAAACATATTGTCTTTTTTTTTTCCTCTCTGTTCCAAACATTGGAAAATAAATCCCAAATGGATATAGAGGTATTCTTAATGTTTTACGTGAAACTGGGAGTTCAGTTTATGAGAGTAACAGGTTTATTATTCTAGCAACGTATATAAGACTAAAACATCATCTTGTTCTATAGACATCTAGCAATCCTTTACTGAGGATTACCAAGTTTAATCTGAACTGAGTCCCATACAGTGAGGAATATATTCAAAGGTGAATATGACATTATATAAGTTGTGCTAATATGGTAGTTCTCACGCAAGGGTGATTTCGTTCCCCAGAGGACATTTGGCAATGTCTGGGGAGAATTGGCTGTTGCATCTGGGAGTGGTGGCCAGTTACCGGCATCTAGTGGACAGAGGTCAGGATGCTGCTAGTCATCCTCTAGTGCATCGGATACCCCATGATAACAGAAAATTGTCTGCCTTCTATTGGCGATACTGTGAAGGCTGGGACACTGCTCTGTATAGGCTGACAAGTGAGAAGTCATGAAATATGCCATGTTAGAAGAGGAGGAATTGTGACTGAAGGAGATAGAAAAGTCAGAGAGGCAAATGAGTAGACTGAGTCAGGAGACGGCAGAAGAGAAAGGTGCTC